TGCCAGTGAAAGGCATGCACCAGCTTCACCTGCTGGCCTCTGTGAGGGCCTCAGAGCTCCCAGAGCAGCTAATGTCCCCCTCCCAGGAAGTTCCGGTATAAGGAGAAGCAGATGGACGCAGCACAATGGACTTCCTTTCTGCCCTCTGGGAGTCAATAGGGAGGGGACATTTAAAATAGTAACACATAGTGGCAGGTGGAAGTCACCAAGCACAAATGACAGATCCAAGTTTGGAGAGGACTAAGCTTACTTTAAATAAATAAAGATGAACACTGCGAGACACTCATTTAAAAGACAAACTTGCAATAAAAGATATAAAACCAGCCTTAAATTAAAAATAAATTAATGGGAGTTGGACAAATGGCTCCATGGTTAGGAGCACTCACTGCTCTCAGGGGACTTGAGTTTGGTCCCCAGCACTCATGTTAAGAAAGTCCCATCCAGATACCTGTAAGTCCAGCTCCAGGGTATCCAACACCCTCATCTGACTGCTGAGAGCACCCATACACTTGGTATATGCTCATAGAGACACATACACACACGCAAACACTTAAAAAAAGCATAACAATAGTCTTAATAAAGAAAGTACTCAAAATAAATTATTTTTACCTACATGACAAAACTACAAATCAACACTTAGACACACAAACCCACTTGGGCTCCGTTTGACAGACATCCAAGCACAGTGCCATCTGGGAACCTGAAGGACTTCACAGTGTGGGTACAAAAATCATGCTGGCTTCTGAAGCCACAGAGGAATGTCATTTGAGCTCTCTATCATTTTCTTTTCACAATGGGGCAATAGGAACACCAATTTTACTTCTAACCACTCTTCCTTTGCAACTAGCAGGTGCAAAAAAAAAAAAAGGCTTGGTCTCTGTATCCTTAAAATAATACATAAGAAGAGGAATCCAGAAACACGCACCACATTTAAAGTTGTATATTCTATTAAAGGGTTACTAACCCAACCAACGCAACTCTAAGTCCATGGTAGAAAATAATTTCTTTTCGTAACAGAAACGTTGTGTTCAAAAGCACTGCCATTCTGTAATTACTTTATGCACAGAATTCATCTGAAGGAGTGTTCAAATCTGGATTGGAGTGCTGAGGGGGCGGAGGGAACAAACATGTTTACAGTCTGTTCAAATCTGCAGTTTCAAATGTTTGATAGACACCATGTAGAGTAGGCTGCAGAGATGGCTCAGTAGGTGATGTCCTTTCCGGGCAAACGGTGAGGACCTGAGTTAGGATCCTGAGCGTGCAATTATGGGCATGCGGCTCTGTGCCTGGCTCTTAGCCTGTAACCACCGCATGCCTGTAACGGCAGCAGTCAGGGTGGAGATGCGCAGATGCTGGGGCCTCACCAGCCATCCAGAATAGCCTATGCAGCAAGTTTCAGGACAGTAAGAGAGCCTGTCTCAAAAAGTCCAGTGAAAATCTATAGAAGACACCAACACCTCAAGACTCCACATGCGCATGCACAGGTGGGTGCACCTGCACACACACAGGTGTACACTCTACACACACACACACACACACACACACACACACAAAGCTGTTTTAAGCAATGCTTTAAATATGCTTTAGTTTATAAATCACAGCTTATTAAACATATACTGTTAAAACTTTTAATGATCGGTCGGTCCTGGCACCAACTCTAAGACGTCTTTGATGAGCTGATCTCTAATATAACCAGTCACCCTGTGCCTCTATTTCTGGCCAGATACCATCACAAGGACCTTGACACTTGCTGCCAGGAGTTCCAAGTGTACTGTGGCATGCCTCTGTGGTCACTAGGCAGGGAGTGCCTCACCACCCATCTCCCATGGATTACGTATGTCCAACTCAGTGTGGATACTCACTAAAATGTTAAAATCATGTTAGCTAAATCTCCTGGCCACGTATTGGGTTAGCCCTCCACCTGTCACTCACGGAAACAGGATTTTAAGTTTATTTACTAACCCTTTGGGAAGAAAAAGTAAATCCAGGTGGCACCTACTGATTTGTGAAGAAGACCCAATACCCAAATAAACAGAATCATTCAAATGTACTTGAAAAACTTCAAACTACAAAGTGTCTCCCTGCAAAGCAAAACAACCCAGGAAACTAGATCATATATGACTGCGTACAATTACAAAAGCATAGAGAGTGCTCTCTTTCTGTTTCACTGGTGGGCATTGATTGTAAATTAAATTTTAAGACGCAGATGACTACAATGTACTAGGATCTGAGTCCCCGCAGTCGCTCACTGCCGGCAGCTCCCTAACTGTTCCCGTTCTCATTGTTCGCTGTCAAACGCTCAATTCTCCCACACTCAGTGTACCCCGCATCCTCCACCCACCAACCAAAACACCTCCTGTTCCACAACACAGAGCATATTAGCTGCTCCTCCTTTCTCTTAGCATCCCATGGCTACCTTGCATGAGAAGCAAGGCCAGCACAGGTCTGTAAGCAATCAGAGGAGCCTGCGTGGTTCGGCAATGGCGGCACACTTCACATAATCAAATAATTGCTTACTACGGCTTTGCTAAATTGAATGTTTACAGATGAGCCAAACGGTCTCTGAGTACCACATGCTTTCACACTCTCAGAGAAGTCACCAGGAGCCTGGCCGCTGAAACAAACACACATCACCGAATCATTATTAGACGACAATACACGTGAAGTGACATCACACAGTGTCACAAGTCTGTCCACCCTGAGTCTTTCATTTCCCCATGGCTATTTTGCTAGTAGATAGGGCCTTCCACGTCTACATTAGAATTTTTGAACCCCAGCAGTATTACTGCCTAGAAGAGGAAAACCCTCCCTTGTTGAAGCTGTTCTATGGGCTATGGGGTACTTAGCGTCACCGCGACCCACTCAATAGATGCCTGTGGCATCCCACACCAACTACGACAAACAAAAATGTCTCCATACATTGCCAAATGTCCACAGGGGGGAACAACTGCCTCCACAAGAGAACCACCGATCTAATCGATGCCAAGTCCTTTAATCTACAATAATGACAGGGCAAGAGTTGAGCTACAGGAATCTGCACATTACATAAGACCTTAAACCAAAAGTTCACAACCACATTTCTCTTTGCTGAGCAATTATTTGCCTTCCTTTAAACCTGCTTCCTTTAATGAAAAGTTCCTTCTCAAAGTGCAAGGGAAGTCAGTTGCCAGTGATCTTCAATCTTTTCCGGGAGGGACCGAGCCTCCCACTGCAGTAGACCCAGAACTTTCCTTTATGTCCCAGCAAAGACACAAGCATGGAAAGTTCTCAAGCAGAACCAGAGCTGCGGCTCCGGCTCTCTCACCCTGACCGAGGCACACCTTGCTGGGACAGGCTTGCTTGTGGTTTCCACTCAAACAAGTTGTTGCGCCGGCCTCGCGCAATCCGAGTTTCACTTTGTCAGTAATTTAATTTCACAGGAGGCTGAGCCCAGGTACGGATTTCTTGTCAACATTTTAGACCCAGCCACTCCTGAAAGCGGCTCCAGGCAAGCCCTATATGCAACACCCTTGAAATTAGGGGCCAACGAACATGTTTCGCCTAGCTCTCAAGTATAGGCTGCATAGGTTCAAAGCGATACGGTTGTAGAGGGAAAGGCGCTTAGCCTTAATTCACAGGACCCCTGAAGGGAAGAACAGTTTGAAGGCTAAAGTTTCTTTGCTCAGATAGGTCTTAGGAAAGCTAATTAAACAAACGCATTTTAGAGTGGAAGTTAAAAGGACCCTACATATGACAGAAGTAAATATTTTCAGCAATAAAACTTGGGATTTGAGCTTTCTTACAAGTCAACAGAAATGTGGACAGACTCCCCTTCAAGGGACATGTCACTGCTGTGGAGTTTGGGAAAACACCACAGACAGAGAGAGAGAGATGGGTCTGTGTGGCGCAGGTTGTTCCTTTGAAATATTTACTGCTGGATTTTAAAGCCTCTCGTGTTGTTTGAGGCTTTAGGTTAGATGGCCAGGAGACAACACAGACTATCGTAAATATCTGTGGCATTGTTTTCCTTCACGACACAGTGGCATGTTTAAGATTTCCTAATTGATTTTAATAATGACTGAAACTTCAGTGCTTGGATAAAGGGCATAATCTTTATCTGAAGCATGGACAGGGTTTTCCATTTTCAGATTTCTACAGCTGGAATAAGCATTTATTTCCTCTCTTGGAGAAACGTTAATTAAGTTCAAGAGCCTAGATAAGGAGGGAAGCATTATTTCAAAATTATATAACTTTCCTGTCACATTTACCTGGCACCGCAACTGTGCTAGTGATTTCCTGGATGCAGCTTAGGCTTATAGGAAAAAAACCCAATCTTGTCACAACTTAAAACCACTGTCCTGGAACCATTCACGCACACGTTAACCCCACTGTGCGCGTAAACTCCAACAGAATAGCCGCAGATGTGTGTTCACGTCCCCGTCTGCCTTCTTGTTCAAAGTATTAAAACAGTGGGAGAAGGTTCACTGTTTGAAAGGCGACCACAATCATCGAGGTTGGAGGTCCTAGGCACGAGGACCTTCCAAGTGTTGACAAGTCCCTTTCACCGCTTGTCTCCTGTCATTTTTCTGTTAACGATCATGCCCTATTTCCAAGTACCTGAAAAGTACTTTAAACTGACTATTTTTTACCTTAAATTACAGTAATAGCCTCTAAAGTCACTTCATAATTATAATGAATAAATATCCTCACCATTAGCAGCCAGACACTATCATGCTGGAAAACATTAAAATATAAACCGCCACTCGGGCAGCATAGAGATTTACAAGAGTCTGACACGGTATCAATTACAGTTGGCTTCTCACTCTCAGTCCCCAAGTCGTTTTTCAAAGAGTCTATTTTAGAACGAGACATACAGAGGAGAGATCATTCCATAGTCACAAAATCTCCCAGCAATTATGTTCACTTCAGCGGCAAGCCTTCAGTTTAAAAACACATACCTATTCATTACATTTATATACGGCATATTTATCATCCGTGGAAAACACACCAGGGGAACTTACTTGACAGTGACTCGGTTTGATAAATCCTGTAGATCCCCAGGATGAAAAAGCTGGGCTTCTTTCAATCCAATCTGTTCACAAGCTTTCAAAAAAACGTTTATGTTATCCTGTGAAAAGAATTAGAAAGTGATTGTTTAGCTGAGCTTGCTCTCAGACAAAGGTTACCAATTTTTAGGATACAACTTCCCAGCTTCAAAGTCCAATTATAGTCAGCAAAAGAGGCGGTGGCAAGAACAACGCGTAAGTGTATTTGAAAGAGGAAAGAAGAAAAAAAAAAGTCCGTGGACACGTATAGCCTTTCAGTCTTCCGGAGCATAAAAGGTGGTGCTACCTTCTGCCCGAGCGTACACTGTTTCTGTGATCTTTGTGACTGGCACGTTAAACATTACCTGTTATAGGACAAGCGCCTGGCCAGTGAGCAGTAATCTACACTTTGATGTCAGCTCTGCTCTGCAAACAAACGCCCTCTTCCCAGCTTCGCACGACAAGCTTCACCTCTTTAAAAATAACTCCAGCTACTGACATTCACCCACCCAGAAACTGTTGGCAGGGAAGAAATAAGAGGAGGAACATTCTGTTTCTATGATTACAAATTACAGAACGGCTGTGGAATACCACACCTGGAATCTGGGTTTGGTTGCTGAGCCAGCCCGTGACAGGCACAGCGACCATGCTATAGGACCAAGGAGAAGCCTGCGCTTATTGGCTGAATCATACCGCTGGGGAGGGGCATAGTCCTCATTCCCTGCACCTGTCTGAAGGACTGCCTCCAAAAACACTGGAAAGCTACCCCCCACCTCCAAGCCTGCCCTCCTATCTAATTTCAAAAGCCCAATCTTCCATTCACAAACCAACGCTTACCATTCTGCTAAGCTGCTGCGAGACCATGGTATATTCTACGTTCAGGGAGCCCCATTGCTCCACACACATTGGTTCCTAGGATTAGCTTTGGCATCACCCCTTACTGCTCTTGAAAAAGAAAAGAACTTGGCGTGGCTGAGTCCCTGGTGACTCCATGTGGACTCTTTTGATTTGCTAGGGTTGTGTGTAGGGAATGTCTTGCTTGCATGCTAGCACATGCTTGTCCACTTAAGTTGGCTGGCAACTCTGCCTCTGTGGTGCGGGCCTCCCTGGAGCCACACCCATCTCCCTCCCAAGTTGAGGACCATAGGGCAGAAGGCAACCTTCCACTTGGAGAAGACAGTGCTTCCTATGCGTAGGCAGAAGTCGGGACGAGAGGGAATATCAGACCAAAAAAAAAAAAAAAAAAAGAGAGAGAGAGAGGATTGGAGGCCAAGTCAGCAGCAGCTTATTCTCAGAGCATAAGGGGCCTTCGGGAAAGTGGGAGAGAAAGTGTGACCAGTGAAAAGCAACACTGACTGCCAAGGAAGGGAGGGACACAAAAAATCAACAACAAAAACTCTCTGTGGAAGTGGGAGGTCGTTCCAGGATGCTCTCAGCAAACAACAGTGTGCACTAACCAGCTAGGAACTGAAATGTTTGTATAATTTGAAATAAATTGGTCTTAACAATTACAGAAATTTCTAGGGGGTAATAGAGTGGAGAGAAACTGAAGAAGACACCCCAAATTGACCTCTGATCTCTATATTTATCCGTTCACATATACACATATCCATGCATAGATGAACATGTACAAACGTACACACACTTATTGGCCAAATTCCAGTAGAAATACAATGATAATTTCCATTGTTAGGCTTACAATTTCTAAATGCTATATGATCTGCAATTATTTGAAAACACAAATAGTTTTAACAATGCCCCCTCAGCAGACAGCAAAAATGGATCATGAGGCCAATATCCCACACCCGACAGGAAGCAAACCTCAAATAAAAAGAAAAAAAACTAAACTATTAAGCATTTTCCTATCTGTGTAACTTAGTTCTGAGTGCTTAAAGTCACGTGAACCATCAGCTGAGAATGGGCAGCAGAAGAACGCTTGCCTAGCAAACCCAAGGCCTCGAGCAGGGTGCCTGGAACGACACATAGACAAATAAACTACAAACTCCTGAAACAAAAATCAAACAGAATAAACTTAAGGAACTAAGAGTTAAAAACAACCAGCATATTTTATGAAAACATAATGGCACTCACCTGGCGAACAAAATGTACACGCTGATAAGGGAGAAGCCACACATTCCACAAAACCCATCCAAGTATTTAGAGAGAAACCACTTCAAATCGAAAGTGACTCCACTCCATCAGGCACAAAGTTCAGGGAAACATACAAGCAATGTGACTACATCTTAATCCTGAGTCTAGCCTTTTTATCAACCACAAAGCAGAATGCTGTTTTAAAAGCTTAATGGTACTCGGTTTGAGAGCAGAAGAGCGTTCCATATAAATCCACACATGGCCTGTGCACTGGGAGGGGGTTCTACTCCAATCAGCATTGTAAACTACACCGTGCCTCTTGGACTGGAGCCCGCTGGTAATTTATTTCCTGCAATTTCAAAGGACCCAGTCAGAGCACTGCCCCAAGGGATATACAAAATTATAAAATAAAATTTTCATGTCTGTTCCAACATCGAGTAGCCACACCCAGCTCAGCATAATAAAAAGAAAGCATTGAGCCCTTACTAGATGGAATTATTTTCTCTCGAAACTACCAAAAAAAAGGGGGGGAGGGGTGCAAAACAAAACAATAACAACAAAGACAAAGCACACATGGAAATCAGCCTCATCTAATTGGCCTGGGAGCCAGGGCTGGCTTTAGAAAGATTAGTTCTGCTCTCTGACCCCTTTTTCCTTATCCCTGCACTGAGTTGCATACAGACCAGCAACCATTCCAAAGGGTAGGCAACTCTCCCTGCAAGAACACGGGTGCCCAAACCTCCAATTCCTCACACAAATATTTCATAGCTGGATCGTTAGAAACAACTTCTTGTCAAAAAAAAAAAAAAGCCTTCCTTAAACACACAATCTCCCTACACCTTCAGTGCCAATGGTGACTTCTCAAAGCAAAAGTAATGATAGCAGTAATGATGATGGTAAACCCTGATTGATGTCTAAGGACTCCTCATTCACAGTGTCTGTACGGGGACGAAGAAAGGCAAACACTACAGAGAAAGAAAGTCTGGATATTTTCATACTCTCTTCAGTCCCCCTCTCCACCTCTGGTTAATCATCAGGAAAAGCTGCTTACTAAGACACTAGGATAAAAATGCCCGAAAGATCTACACAAGTTCTCCAGTGTGTATTCTTTGCTTACAGGAACTCTATTAGTCAAGCGATGCTGCAGAACAAATGATCCCAAAACAGCGGCGTAAGAGACTGCCACTTCTGATGACTTTGCGGAGCTTGAAATGTGGGAGAGCCTTCACGAGGTGCTTCTGACTGGGGGGACCCCCCCCCCCCATCGAGCTCTAACTGAGAAGTCAGCCCAGTCTGCAGTCATCCGAAGGCTTTCCTGGTTTTGTGGCTGTAACCAAGGTGACTGACTCATGTGCTTGGCAAATCAGGGTAAATAGATGTTTCCATAGGACTACCTGATAGAACCAGCGTTGTGAGAGGCAAAATGAGACTGCACTTCCTGGCTTCCAAAACCTTGTTCCGTCATTTCTCTAAGATTCTACTGTTACAGAGACCACTGCTGTTCAGTCAAGACTTCACAGGGACATAAAGCATATATGAGGAGCATCAGGTCACACTGGACTATTGGCGCCAATACTTCATTGTCTGGAGACTAGTGTTTCATACCTCACTCACATAAAAAAGTATTCACGCTCTCTCCCAAGGCCTCCAAAACTCAGGTTATTAACATATTTGTTTAGCCTGTGTATTTGGAGGGTGTGTGTGCCTAGTGTGCATGCATGTGTGTGTGGTGTATGTGTGCTAGTATGGATGTATGCACATCTCGGCACATTTGTGGAGGTCAGAGAACCACTTTCAGGAGTCAGATTTTTGCATTCCACTATGGGTTCTAGGAATCACGAATTGCCAGCTTTGCGTGACAGATGACTTTACCGCCCCCTGCCCCCGTCGTAGCCATAGTTGCTATTGCTGTGATGAGACACCATGACCAAAGAAAGTTGGGGAGGAAAGGGTTTATTTGGCTTACACTTCCATGTTGTAGTCCATCACCAAAGGAAGTCAGGATAGGAACTCAAACAAGGTGGGAACCTGGAGGCAGCAGTTAAAGCAGAGGCCTTGGAGAGGTACTGCTTTAGGGCTTGCTCCTCATGGCTTGCTCGGCCTCCTTTTTTATTAAATCCATGACCACCAAGTCATGACCACCACATGCAGTGGATTTCCTCACCACTACCAACACCACCGATCACTAAGAAAATGTCCTACAGACTTACCTACAACCCGATTTTAAGGAGCCATTTTCTCAATTGAGGTTTCCTCCTCTCAGATAACTTTAGTTTGTGTCTAGTAAAAATATCCAGCACACCCAGTGAGCAATCTCACTGGACCTAACCCCCAAATTCTTATTTCTTATCAAGGTGAAATCAAAACGTGGAATATCATCAAAATCAGCTCCAGATACGCGCGAGGTTGTGCAAGTTCCCCCTGAAGTAGAGCTGTTGAGTAGAGTTCCTCTCACCCCAACTGCCTGAGAATGACCAGGAAGTTACCGATCCTCTTGCGCTGAAAGCCTCCTTAAAATACATGTAATACCTACACTTTCAGGGCCAAAGTTTGACATCTCAAAAACAAACAAAGAGTGATAACCCCTAATGGTATCTAAATAGCTCCTTTTTGTTTACAGTGTTGCTATGGGGATAAATGAAGGCCAGCACAACAGGAGCAGGAAGCTTCCGTTGGTGGGGAAACACACGATGCATAAGCATTCTTCACTCTCCAGGTCAAGGTGTGGAGAAAGTCAAGGCACCTAAGAGTCACCCGTCCCTAGAAATGCTGGCTGTCTCTCCATTAGGACCCAAAGTCAGGGGATCATCTTCACAGTTTCTGGCTCCTCCCTCTGGAATCTTCAGGTCATCTTATACCTCATCTTTCCTTTTCCTTGCAAAGTAGCCTATGTGATCAGTTGTGATACTCTCTCGACTGACATCCGGTCTTGCCTGTAGACATTTGGGGCAACTAAATATTCCGGTCTTTTCACGTAGGCTGGCAATGCTTC